GATAAAATTACAGATCTCTCCATAACATAAATAGTGCTGCTACAGTATCTACTTCTCCCATTGAACAGCAAGTTGCAGAGCTGACGAAGCAAGTAAATGAACTTTCGCTAGCTATCAAAACCGCCATGAGCGTTCCTGTGAACGAAGAGACAGTCATTCCCAACGCAACAGAAGGCGTAACAGATCCAATGGACACTATCAAAAGTATAAAGAACCGTGCGACAACATTTGTTTCTACCATACTAATTTTGGTTCCAGTCAACGGAAGTGTGTTTTTCCATGCAATTTCTGGCAGTCGGAAAACTAGATTGGTGATCGCTTGTCGGCCAACGTTGCAATCGCGACATTAATTGAATTCTTTTGTCCGATCCATCGACAAAACTCACCTTTATAATTGACACCGGAGCCAATTTGTCTGTCATTTCCAAGAGTTACAGTCAGCACACCAAAAACCCAGCTGACTTAGTTTTCTTTGTTGCTAACGGCACCAAAATAGCAATGTCTGTCACCAAACTTTCGACCATCAATTTAAACTTACGTCGTTCATTTACTTGGTCTTTTGTCCTGGCAGACATAAATCAACCCATCATATGTGTTGACTTTCTTACGAAGTTCAACTTACTTATAAATGTTAAAAAACCCGTTTAATTGATGGACAAACAACTATATTCTTGTGGTTGACTTCCCAGTGTGAACCCGCTCAGTACTAGCCTTCATATTTTGATGCATAACTCAAAATTTGACAAAATTCTTGCTGATTACCCCAGCTTGACAAATCCTTCACAAACTTTTGAGCGGCACTAATGTCAACAATTTTCGATCACATTGAAACTAAAGGACCCCCTATTTTCTCAAAACCTAGACTTTTATCTTCAGAATTACTTCAAGCTGCACCTCAAGAGTTTGACTTTCTCCTATCAGAAGGCATCATTCAACTTTCAAAAAGTCCTTGGGCAAGCCCCCTGCGTATGGTTCGTAAGGCAAATGGCGATTGGTGACCATGCGGGGATTATCGTCGCTTAAACGCCATTACCATTCCGGATCGTTATCCCATACCCCATATTCAGGATTGCACTCAAATGTTTTCAGGAAAGAACATATTCTCAATGCTTGATTTAGCCCGTGCCTATCATCAAATCCCTGTTAACCCTGCAGACATTCCGGAAACGGCCATCACTACCCCTTTTGGTCTTTTTGAATTTTTGGCTATGCCATTTAAGTTGTGTAATTCAGGCCAAACTTTCCAACATTTTATACATGAAATTTTATTTGGATTGGATTTTTGCATCCCTTATTTTGACGTCATTCTTATTGCATCGACTAGTGAAGAAGAGCACATCTGTTATCTTCATCAAGTGTTTGATCGTTTGAAAATACACAGTTTGACCTTAAACCCCAACAAATGCAAGCTCGGAAAACCATCTGTTTCCTTTTTAGGTTTGCCTCATTACTGCCTCAGGTGTAAAACCCCTGCCTGAAAAAACAAAAGCAATTGCCAACTTCCCAAAACCTACCACTATTGTCGAGCTCAGATGTTTCTTAACCATGATAAACTTCTATCGCTGCTTCTTACCAAAGGTAGCTGAGACCCAAGCTTCACTGAATGAACTCTTAAAAGATTCACGCAAAAATGATAAACGGCTCGTTCCTTGGAACGACGAACCGAATCAGGCATTTCAAAAATGTAAACACGACCTTATTAATGCTGGAACTCTCTCCTATCACTCTTCTATCCAAAAGCTGAGTATTATGGTCGACGCTTCTGACATTTCCATCAGAGCTGTCTTAAACATTCGACACTCTAATAACTATCAGCCACTAGGATTTTTCTCACATAAGCTGTCCCCCATCAAACAAAAATACAGCACATATGACAGAGAGTTATTAGCTATTTATGCAGCTATAAAATATTTCAGGCATAATCTCAAAAGTCAACACTTCACTATATTTACTGATCACCGACCTCTAACTTATTGTAAACAAATGTATTCACATCAAAATCAAATTCTGTTTCCCTGAGACAAATTCGGCATTTAAATTACATAGCTCATTTCAGCACAGATATTCAGCATATATCAGGTTCCAGCAATGTCATCGGCGATACTCTCTTGCATATTCAAGGCATCAATGCCAATGCACCGCTGGATTTTGTGCTTATTGCCCACTCGCAAGCCACCAATGAACATTAAAACGTCTGAGTGAAGACTCAAACTGCTCATTGAAATTCCAGTCATTACAACTTACTCGGGACCTTCAACTATTGTGCGATACTTCTAACAACAGACTTCGACCTTATGTACCACTTGACTTCAGGAAAAAAGTTTTTGACTGTTTCCACAACTTATTGCAGGTATCCAGGCTTCCAAAAAGCTCATACAAGATTCGTTTGGCCATCCATGCTAAAGGACATTGCCAATTGGACTTATTCCTGCATCATGTGCCAACATTAAAAAGTTACCTGGCACACGCATAGCCCTTTGAAAAAAATCGTGATGCCATCCGAACCATTCGACCATGTTTATATAGACATCGGTGGTCCTCAGCCACCATCTGACGGTTTTCAATATCTACTCACCTACATTGGCAGATTTACTTGTTGGTCTGTAGCTTTTCCCATTCAGGACATCTCTGCTGACTCTGTGGCTTGACAATTCATCTCCGGTTGGATTGCACGATTTGGTGTACCATCTATTTTGACAACTGATCAAGGTCAACAATTCCAGTCCCACCTTTTCGCTTCTCTGACATCTATGCTTGGAATACGCCGAATTCGCTCTTCGCCATACCATCCTTCCGCCAATGGCTTAGTGAAACGTTTTCACTGCGACCTAAAAGCAGCTCTAAAGTGCCATAACAACACCTGTTGGACTACATCACTCCCTCTTGTGCTTATTGGTTTACGTTCTTCCTTCAAGCGAGACCTCACAGGTACATCCGCTAAACTTGTCTATGGCACAGCCCTTCAATTACCATTTGAGTTCTTTCAGTCATCCTCTGCTCCAGTCGATCCAGCATCCTTTCTCCAGATTTTCCAAGAGGCTATGAAGAAGCTGTCTCAGACTCCTACATCATGCCACAACAAATCCACTCCATTCGTACACCATGCAGTAAGCACTTGCGCTCACGTGTTTATGCGAAACGACGCGGTAAAACCAACACTCACTCCTCCATATGATGGACCCTTCAAGGTCTGTGCACATAACATTAAACATTTCACCATTCTTGTGTATGACAAGGAAACCTTTCTGGGAATAGACCAAATGAAGCCTGCCTTCTTCGAAGCTTCAAACACTCAGGTTCCTGTGACCAGCGATCCTCCTGCTTCCCTGGACCCAACTGTTTCTCCAGATGCTCCTCCTTCGATCGACCTTACGCTTCCTCCCAGTGTTCCGCCAGTTATCACACGATCAGGAAGAAGTGTGCGCTTTAACACCAGATATTTGTGACTTGATTTTTTCATCGTACCTTTGGTACTCAGGGAGGGACTACTGTGGAGAACTCTTTATTATTATTATTTTCCACTGGCTCAAGAGAGGACACTACCAGCTTTCTCCCTCTTCTCCAACTAGGGGAAAATTTGGACTGGTTACTCTGTTCCTGGCTGCCGTTGGTGAAGCACTCGCTCACCTCTCTTCGGCTTCGTGATGTCTTTGTAGCTGTGATGTGACTTTCATGATTTTTTACCTACGTGGACTTGCGCTACCTATAAAAGTTCCTATCGTGCAAACTGTAATCAATGTGACTGTGTATCAGTGAAGGTGTATTGAAATATATATCTTTTTCTAGTGTTAAATAAAAATGTTAAAATCCTCAAGCCGAGCTATCATCGTTTTATCTGCAGCAACCCTAAAATGGCATCCATAGACGAAAGCCATACTATGATACTAGGAGGAAAATTTTCATTGTGTGGTCTGAAAGGTTATTTTCAATAAAACAATTTATATTTAACTATTTTTGTGGAGCAGCAAAGATTGCTCTGTGTACTCGAAAGAATAATTTCTTAGCCTGGCTGTCTCAGTCTGAACTTGACAATATTTGCATTACTTTGTATATGAAAAATTATGTATTTATGATGTCATTTATACATACTTATTTTGTATGTTTATTGTGCATTAATACCAGTTCAGATAAAGTACAGAAAAATTAAATTTTGAAAAAATAAGAAATATGCATCCAAAATTAACTCCTGAGGCTTAGTATATTTTTGAAATATACTAGTGAGCTACTCCACAATGCTTCGTTTCATGCCTTTCATAGAACCCAAGAAATTTAACATTTCTTTTTCACTGCAAATCCAATTCATGTCCAAACTGAAATGATCAAAAATTCATCGTATAACAACTGAATAATTCATTCCAAATTTTTTTCGGAAGCAGTGGTAGACTTTTATTACAGTCAAGGATCTCAAGTTGTATCGTGTTATATTAAAACATTTTTGTCTTTTAGTGAATATGTATGAATTAAAAGTTTTGATACTATTTTGCATTTTCAATTTACTTGAATTTTCTTCTAGTGTTTTAAACTGAAGAATAATATTGGAAGTATAAAATTAGATTAAAATATACATCTAATTTTATATAAGTTGAGCTTATGTAACTTGTATTTTCACCATGTAAAATAATTTTTTTTAAGGTTTACTTTCTAAAAGCAGCTAGTTCCTACATCTGGAAAAGATTAGACTCCAAAATTTATTATTCAAGTATAATGTTTAATTTTTATGGTTTATACGAATTTTTTTACTTGTGTAATTTTCTTACCTTTTGTAAACAAATGTATTTTTCAAAATCATTTTGTCTCCTGTAGAATTCTAAATTATTAGTGTATTATTTGATTGTGTAAATAATACATTACAAATTATTTATGGAAGATGTTCAGTAAACTAATATAAAAAATGCTTTATATTTAAAAGTTTTTTTTTTTTTTTTTTTTTTTTTTTTTTTTTTTTTTTACATTACTCTTCGAAGTACTTAGCATTTATTATTTGGTTCTTTGTTTTGTAGACTGATAGTGACTATGTTACCCGCCAAGCTAGTGAAATTGAAAATCAGTGAGTAAAATATTTTTATTAATTAATCTTCATATGTGATGTAAAAATCCTTTTAAAATTATTAATCTAAGCCTTGAAATAATTTCTCTTTTTATTTTAGATTCCAGGACCACATTAACTCTGGTCTGTTAGAAGTAATTGCACCTCCTAGTACTTATTATCCTGACTTCAACAAACTGCGACAGACTTTAGGGGATCCTTTAGAACGTGTCAAGTGAGTTTCAGTTTATTTATTCAAGTGCAAGTTTATTATAGTCTTTTAAATAAATTGTTGGCCAACTTTTGTTATACAGTACAAAGTCCGTAATCCAGACTTGTCGGGACTTCGGCGTTTCCAGATGAGGGGTTTTTCTGGATTATAGATCTTCAATTTAAATCTGGTAAAATGGCATGCAGAAATTATACAATTAAAAATATGAAACCGTAATTTGTGAAATAAAGAGCAATTATGATCTAAAGGGTATCAAAATTTACAAAAAAAAAAAAAGCTTAATATTTATTTGTTTACATTATTAAGCATTTCTTTCAATGTAAGTTGTTTAAGTTGCTTTGTTTTTTGTGCTAAACGCGCTTGCGTAAACATTAATCGCGCATGCGTAAACATTAATCGCGCATGCGTAACATTAAGCGCGCATGCGTAAAGCATACCAAAAAAAAAGTGTGTGGCTTTGAGGCCCAGATTATAGATCATTCCGGATAATGGACGTCCGGAGTACAGACTTTGTACTGTATTGGGGAGGAATATCATGTGTTATTTACATTGCAGATAGCTGAAATGAATATTTTCTCCTTTAAAATTTGGTAATTACCATGTGTAATGTTAGCAGGGCTTTGTTTATGCTCATTGCTACTCATTAATAAAGTTGATCTACATTGCTTATGTCCTGTTAATAAAGCCTGATAATAAACAATTTGATAATGATTAATTTGAAAAACTCATTAATATAGGCCTGAGTTATTAATAACCACCTAAGAGCAATTTTGAAACTGATTTTTTTGGTTTGAAATAGGGACACATGATATTTGTTCGTGATTACCTGCTCATTATTATAATAGAAAGGGCTAAAAAGAATGACTTTATTTTGAATCACTCTGTGTATGATTTTATCTGTGTATTAAGCTCCTAAGCATGTATTAAAGCAATTTCATTAAAAAAATATCCTTCCAGAATAAAAAGTTTCCCCACGCATCATTTAACCTATTTTGGTTGATTAACTCATGCAGTTCATGTGGCTACTTGATTAAGTGCAGAAGTGCCTTCAAGGAGAGTTTTCTGTGTAAAAATCACCCATATTCATATTATAGGTGGGAGAAACTCTTGAAAACACCCAATAGCCAGCTCACTAAGTTAGCAGGTTTAGGACTTGGGGCAAAATATCAGTGTTCTTCAGCCTTAGCCACTTGGACCTACCATGTTTGTTTGCTATTCAGTCACACTTTTCATTTTTAAACTTGATAGCAGTCTGGAACAAGATCGTGACAGTTTTATGATCATACTGTATGAATTCTGTGTAAAAAAAAAAAAAAAAAACTGAGATCATCACTTTGCTGAGAAATGACATATGTATCACACATGAGTTTATCTATTAATTTTCCAGCAATTCAGATGAAAGCAAGTTAAAGCAATAAAGAAAAATTCGAAATGTATATGACGTCATTAGTTCAATCTCCAGAGCAAATTTAAATACACTATTCTCAATACTTATCTAAAAAAATTTCTATACCTTGCATACTAGCTCTGTTTATTGAGTGTATCAAATACAGTCAAAAGTCGTTAATTCGGACACCCATAATCCGGAATGATCTATAATCCGGACCTCAAAGCTGAAAACTTTTGGCGCATGTGCCGCGTTGACACATGCGCATAGGCGTTTACGCATGCACGTAAGACCTCTTACAACTGCGCATTTGCGTGTGCGCAAGTGCAGAATACGTTTTTGTGTGCGCTTTTTATGTATAACGGACAGTATAAGCTAAAATTATCTATTTCAGTTAATGTTGATGATTGCGTTGTTCCTTAATTTTCGAATTGGATCCGGCTCATTATTTTTTGCAGACTGTAAGAGCAATACTATAAAAGTAAACTTGAACTTTCGATTATGTAAAATAGAATTTCCGATTCTGGAGCTCCCAAAGGATCGTACAAAACGAAAGTATGTTTCAATGTCCATCAAACAAAAAGTGGAATTGCTGCAAAAAATGGATAAAGACATGAAGAATGTGACAAAGAGGTTAGTGAAAACAAAAAAATTTCGATTGACAAGTTAGTCGGTATTCTCGGCACAGCAATTAACGGGACTTAAACAGCAGAACTTTGTAACTGAACAAAAAATTATGTCTGTTTATAGGATTAAAGAGAAAGTATTATCACATAAAACGAAGCAACTTAAACAACTTACATTGAAAGAAATGTTTAATAAAATAAACAAATAAATATTATGCTTTTTTTTTGTAAATTTTGATGTTCTTTATTTCATAAATTACGGTTTCATATTTTTAATTTTAGAATTTCTGCATGCCATTTTACGCGATTTAAACTGATGATCTGTAATCCGGAATCACCGAAGTCCCGACGAGTCCGGATTAACGACTTTTGACTGTATAATATTTTTCAAATTATTTTTTAAAATTTTATAAATGTATGAATATGGATGTGTTATGAGTTTCATGATGATGAAAGGATGTTTTAATTGTGTCTATTCATGGAAGTCTGTTATGATCAACAAATAGTAACATTTTTCATGTTACATGTTTTGTTTTGGTAAAAGAATGAAAATACCTTTAAATATGTCCCATTGCAAAATCTTTTTTTTTTTTTTTTCCCTCTCTTTTCTATTAAACTAATTTGTCTGCATTGGTTTTGTTTCTGATTTAGAAAAAAATGTTTAACTAGAGAAGTTATGATGTAAAGTTTTAGCTCGGTCTTATTAACTGTTTTCTTTTTCTAATGTATATTCATGTATTTTATCAAGTTGTCCCATAAGTGATGCTTTTCAGTCAGAATTTTTAAAGCATATTCTAATGCATTTAAACAAATACTTTTCACAGATGTATAAATACCATGAGCTAAGACAGTCTGAGTTTGATAAATCCCACCTTACAAGCACATGGGTGCAAAGTTGTTTCTTTAATAGCCCTTCATGAAAACTGATGTCACTGATGAACACATCAGACATAATGCTTTGCAAGTGTTAAAAATGAGCTAGTGCAGAAAATGGTAGGAATTCTGTTGAAAAGATGCTTTGTAAAAGTGTTTTAAGTATTCAGCAAGACAACCTTAACTTGAAAGATGTTGGCCGATGGGCGATCTGATAGCTTTTTATTTGTTAATGGTAATTTGATGTTTTGAAAGCTGCAGTTGAAAGTAATTCATCTGCAAATGTTCAAGAGTAGGCAGGCGAGGCTAGTTCATCATGAACATCAAATGTCTGTCATCATTTGAGGAAACTCAAAATCATGTCTAAGCTTGAAGGTTGTTTGCACATGACCTTGTTGACCCTAAGTGAAGAGAACATGTGAACACCTGCACTTCTCATCACTCATTCAAAAAAATCCTCTTTTTATTTTAAACTCTTTTGGTGATGCAATGAAAAGTGATTTCTTTTTTTTTTTTAAAGAATAAAAGCTTTTTTAATTTCATTCGGAAAGAATATTGTCTAGAAGATGCTTGAAGCAGACATTCAAGACTTTTTCTTCTATGAGGTGGCTCATTTTGTTTTTTTGGGGGAAGGGCATAAAAGTCTGATGTAGTATTGAAATAATGCTATTTATGTATAGTTGATTAAATTAGTAGCTTACTGATTTTTATTTCTTCAGAACCTAATTCAAGTGCAGGTAATAGTAGGTAAGATACCAAAAATTTACTCTTGGTCATACAAGTATAGTCATGCTACAATAATTTAAAATAAAAAATGCATTAATTATGGGATGACTTAATGATTTTTCTAAGCATGTGCTTTCTGAGTTTATTAAATATAATTTTTTAGGTGGCGTACGAAACAAAATTTGGATTTTTCATATCTTATGATGTATGCTCAACCAAAAGGAATGTTTTATGTTCAAGTAAGTTAGAGTTTGCGAATTTTACCATTTTTGAATACCTGCATTACAGTAATTTTCTTATTTCAATTTTCCATTGACTAAGTAAATCCACTTTTATTCAAGAAATAGTACAGAAAACTTGCTTTACTATCATAGGTTGGGGGAGGGCAGAGGAAGCAGTCTATCCGCGGTGGCATTTTCACAATTTTATTTTCTACCAATCAGTTTATTTATGTTAACTTATTAATTTTTTGCTGCTTAATAACCAGATTTTAACAACAATACGTGCAGTTAAAAGATATAAAAATCCAATAAAGCCATTACTTTTTCTATTATATTGTGATTTAAACTCTTAAAAGCAAAAGAATAAAATGCTTGGCTAGGTAATTGCTTGTTTCCTTAGTCAGCAGCGGCTGCATCTCTGAAGCACACTACATAATCAGTGCATATTGTGAAGAGGTATTGTATCCCACACTCCAAATGCCTGATTCATCATTAGTTTTTTTTTTTTTTTTTTTTTTTCCCAATTCATAACATTTATCTGGGGGGATTGTGATCTGCATATAGCTGGAATTATAGATATTTAAGGTTCTGAAACCCAGAATTTCCAAATATGTGTAGTGTATACAGATTATCTTTCTCACATTTTGTGTAAGAAAAAATGTCGTTTATATAAATTTAAAAGTATATTATTGAGAGAAATCAGGCAGGAGCTGAAGCATTCAAGCTAAAAGAAGATAAAAAGCAGAAATATCCATTATTCATAAAACTGATGAAATCTGTTTTTTTCTTGTTCCGTATATCTGTTGCTAAAAATTCATTTAATTATTTAGAGTGATATAATGACAGAATATTTACTGGACAGCTTACTAAATCAGTGAACCAGTCTCTCTCTTCTTGCAGTCCCGTATCTCCGGCATCTGTTAATAGGCATACTTCAAGTTTAAATTTAATATCCAAAGCCAAAATCTTGAAATGTCTTACTAAATTTTCAGTTGTTAACAAAGAAAAATAATGCAGCACTTTCAAGAAATGGAAGTCCCATAAAAAAGAAAGCAAAGTAACCATATCGGTTATTTTATTTTTATTTTTTTTTTTAGTGTTGAGGAACCAAAAAGATAGACATCTGTTCAAAATAATGTTGCAATATACAAATTAATTTTATGTTTCATGGCATTATTTTGTGTCAACATATTTGTTTAAAATTATGCCAGATATTTACTACATTGTTAATTTTCATGAGTTTTTAAATGGAACTACAATCGCGCATGATATATATCCAATGAGTTACTATTAAAACGACTGAAAAATTTTTCATTATATTGCTTATGCATACTTAATTCAAAGCCATATTTCTAAATATAATAGTTGCCATCAGCCACTTGTAATGAATGCTTAAAATGCATATTTAATTTTTAATTGTATCTCTGAAAAAGTCAAATGTTTTTCAGAAAGCATTTCTGAAATATAATTTTTAAAATTATATCCCGTTTGCATTGAATGCATTCTGTTTTATAATATTTTAGATGTTTAAAGTGATTGGCTTTCTTGTATATTCTGTTGTCCCAGTTTATATGTCACTTTCTGCTTGTATTGTTCAGAATGAGTTTATTGGAATTTTAAGTGAAAAAGTAAGAAGCGTTATTGAAGAATTAAAAGACACATGTTGTTTTTATATGATATTCAACATTCCTGATAGGTCTCATTAGAATAAAGCAAACCAAGTTTTATGCTACAGTTTACATAATGGAAAGTGAAAACTATGGAATTTCATAACTTTTGTCGTTTAAACAAAAGATATAAGAGTAGAAAGTAGAATTTGTTGCATGTATGAACAAGAAACTGAATTAGATATATGTGAATAAAGCTTTTATTGCTGTGCATGAGTTACGTTTTTGCAACTTTTTGAACTGTGGAAGTTTCATTAACATCTTCTTCATCCCATTGCTGAAATAATGGGATAAAGTGACTTGAGTCAGTGAGCCATGAATTAAGCATATAGTCAAAATTCCGTGGAGTGCATTGGGAAATGCACCTGAATGTTGTAGAAAAATCTCTAAACATTATTCAGTGAAGTGCATTGGAAAATGCATCTAAATGTTGAAGAAAAATCTCTAAACATTCTAAGTGCTACAGGCAATTTAATTGATGACGAAAATAAAGTGCTCGCGTGATATTAGTTTCGTATTCTCCTTTGTGCTTTCTTGATCTGTAGGATTCTGTCCATCCAGAAATTAATGGCACATAAGTCATATCTTCAGACCACATGATTAAATGCATAGATGTCAAAGCTTTAGCAACACTTTCTACTGAAAATAGAGAGGAATTAATTAAAATTAAGTTACTTATATGAAAGAAATTTATGGTGATCTGGGCTTAGTCATACATTGACTGGGCAGAAAAACAAATGATGAAAGATGAAAATTCAGGAGATGTTGATTTGCCATACAGAACTGAATGAAATGCAGATAGGTTTTTCCCATGTATCGAGTGTTTCAAAAAATGATGAATTCAAGTGTTTTATTCTTGCCATTCCTTTTGTACTAGTCTAAACTTCTGAATGATAAATGTAACTGAATTATGATCATTATGGCTCATAACTGACAGTTTCAGTGACTTCTGTGCATTATGTTCACATAATTCTGTAGTTTTTCCTGCCAGCACTCAACGATATGGATGTGGGAGATAAACGGTTTGAGCAGAACATTGCCACAGCACACACAGTGTCAATGACTATTTTGTGGCTACACTGCCCTGGCACAGTCACCTGATTTATCCCTCTGTGCAGTGGCGTAGCTAGGGTGGGGCAAGGGGGGACATCTGTCCCCAGGCACAGCATCGAGAGGGTGCCAAATTGTAATTAAGAACTTTTAGAATGAAATGTTTTCCATTCTTGGTACACAGAAGGGGGCGCAAAATCTTCAGTTGTCCCCGGATGCTGAAAACCCTAGCTACGCCTCTGCCTCTGTGACTATTTTTATAGTGCTATTTTAGATCACTTTTTTATAAGTGATTGACCCTGTATCACCTGGAGAACAACATTCATCAAGCTGTTGCCAACATGCTCGTTGATATGCTGGAAACAGTTGAATGAAACTTCCAAATTCAATTAGCACAGTGTATTGATAATAATGAATGCCATCTGCAAGATATCATCTTTAAAACTGTGTAAACATTAATTTTAAATGTTGTACTTGATGTTGTTCAAAGACTTCAAAAAAAGCAATGCACATATATATTTAAATTGAATTTCTAAATAAGCAGTTTGCTCTGAGTCACCCATAAGTTTCTTTCAGGAAAAGTATTCAAGTCAACTGTTGTAATGTATTAAAATAAAAGTCTACAGGAGATTTGTTTTGAGTTCTGTAAAACCTTTTTCCCCCCTCCCTAGTTCTATACAATTGTATATAATTCTTATTTTCTTGCTATCGGTTTTGTGTTTGAGCATTCAACTTAAAATCCCAGAATTAAGTTTAAATTATATTGAAATTTCAATACATTGTTGTATAATTTAACTTTTATTATTGTTATCAATTTCTGTTAAGTATCATGAAATCCAGAATGCAAAAGTAAAGGCCATTAATGCCTTTTTCTTTTTGAATTTTGAAATCTGTGACAATATCAAGACAGAAGAGAAACAAAGTAAAAATTAACAATGTGTTTGTTATAGATTTTAGTCAAGATTCTATCAATTTCAATAGCAAACTGGTACAAGTCCCTCTTCATCAGAAGCAAAGAAATCTGCACTGAAGGGAAAGCCACAGATGTATTTATACCCAACAAGAGTAAAGCAAATGAGAAGGTAGCACTATCTGTCAACAGAAATAGTAACAAAAGTTCAAAAATTAAGTTAATAGAATTGTAAAATTGTAATATGGAAGTAGTGAGTTGGCCATTATTAGAGTTATTAACTAAGCAAGATAAATCTGTGTGAATGTGAAAAGTTTCAAGAAAATACAATTCACCAATGAAATATGCTGTTTGGATAATTTTTGCAGAGCCAAAATCAAAATTATAATTTAAATTTCCAACTATGATTAGTTAGCAAAGTTTTGTTAATTTCACCTTTTCTGATATAAGATTGAATGTTCCTTGATGTGAAACTTCAATGCTCTTTTAGTTTGGCTGATAATAACACTAACAAGATATGCGATAAGTTACCCAAGAATTAAAATCAAAAATGTGATATTTAAGAATCAAAGTATGGTTTTTATTGATATGTGAGAAATTAGCTTGAAAATTGAAGTTGTAGAGAGTCCATGTAATTTTGTAATTGACAGAAGGATGAAATAGAAGCATGGTAAGGTTATTAATGCTATTTCTAACACCAGAATGTCTTCTTTGATAGCAAGATGAATTTTTTTAAAGTCTTTATCAATGACCACTAGGGAATATTCTTGGTCAGTGGCAATGATCTCAAATAATTGAGTTCATTATCTAGAAAACATTCTGTGGAATGAACTTGGAGAGTGCAAAATACATAATAAGAAAAAGAAGCCATTTTTTTACTTAGCCAACTTAGTCTGGGGAAGCAAACAGACAGGAAAGGGTTTACGGTAAGTAGTAATGCTGAAATCAGATTCATTGCACATTGTAAAAATATCAAGGAAGGAAAGGGTATTTTCAGATTCAGTTTCCTAGGTGAACTGGATGGCTGGATCAATTGAATTTCTAATAAATAAACTCTGTGATAAACCTTCTCTATTACCATCACAAAGTGTAAAAGTGTTATCTTCATAGTGAATCCAGAAACAAAAAAATAGTTTCTGAAATAATTTGGCCTCAAATAATGTCTCTAAATGTCAGCAGGTAGAGAAGTGAGAGGGTTACCTATAGCTAACACTTCAATTTTACAATAATATATGTTTTGGGAAACAAAGTAGGTTTGGTGCAAGGAGACTTTTGTAAGAGCAATTAGTAAAGAGTTTAGTAACCCATCACAGGTTTGTTACTTTGCTAATTGTATGCTATGAAAATATGTTTCAAGAAAATGTCATCATATTTAATTAAATAATAATTGAGATCATATAGATCATGAACAGTTTTTCAATCAT